AATTCAGTTTTGTCCCTAGTTCACCAAATTATTTTTTCATATTTTGAACAGTTGAAATCAACTCAAATTTGTTTTCATTTTTGGGTTTCAAATATCACTTTAGACGCTTTGGACTGAGCGTAAAGGACCGAATAAGTATTCAGGCATTTAGATGTTCCCTCGAGAGCGTACGGAACTAAGCAATCTCACTCTACTCATTTTTATACCTATCTATCAGATTTCACTTCTCACATAAGCATAATTCAGTCTACCCACCTTTCTAGCTAATTATTTTCTAACTCACTGTGCCTTTGAACAATATATCAACCGTAGTGTGTGGATATCAGATGATGCGTTGAGTGAAAAATCGCATATCGTACGTTCTTCTGGTTTCACTCCTTTCCGAACCATACTGTGTTCAGTCTCCTCCTACGTACATAGTGTAACGAATAGAGCTACATATCTGTGCCAGCTACTATGTTGTTTACGCGCGCTATCTAAAAGGACAGTGGTATTGTTTCTCGTTGAGTTAACTGTTTCGATCGTAAATTACTCATCGAAACTACTGTTTACACTTTAATTGAATCTACTACAGTTAAAGTGATATTGTATTGAGTGTTTCGATTTTGCCTTTGTGCATTTATTGCATCGAAGCATACTTGGTCGACTTTTACTTGATCTATTTAGTTAAGGTTTAAGAATTCTTTTACGTATCCTGTTTGTATCACCGTTGTAGTTGATTTTCAAGATGGCCAGCTCTACTCATAAATGTGGACAACAATATTGCTTATTCACCATGTAGGAAGGGATGCAATATGATGAGTGTAATAAGTGGTTCCACAAGTTTTGCACCCGATTAAGCCCGCTGCATATAAAAGGTGCACAAAGCCCAACTCTCATTGGCTTTAGTTTTTGTTGCTCAAGCAAAACATCACTCATCCAGGAAGAAATTAGCCTGCTGGTGTTGGCTAATAAGAAGGTTGATGAGGGCTCTACTGGCAACATTGGTACTGATGGCGAATATTGCGTTAGTGCCGTAAGTGCTGTCACGGCGCAAGTCAGACATCTAACTGTGCAACCCGAATTTAAAATTTACTTCGAAACAATCAATGAGTGACACCTCATTAGATGTTGGTGGCCATGTTGTTACAGCAGCAACTGGTGATCCAGATAAAACAATTACTGTCCCAAGTAGTTCTAATGTAGATGCTACGACTAATGAAATATGGATGACACTGAAACTCAGAAGAGTAGGAAAGACAGCTAAAACTAATGACCGTTGACTTGACAAGTCCTAGGTGAACTATCAGACCACTCCGCCATAGTCTCAATGTAAAGCCTCGTCAAACACTGTTGTGAGTCGCTCGACTCCAATGACTCTGTTACAATAAAAACTAATCGTAATATACCAGTAGTTAATATACAGGATCTAAGGTCACGATTCCAAAAGAAGCTAAACCCCTTCCTAGTTTAATTATTTGGAATCTAGAGGAGTCGATAGACAATGACCCTGCTAAGAGACATGCACATGATCTGAAGTTAGTGGAATCCGTGGTAAGAAACGTACTACCTGAAGAAGTTTCAGGGGTACATATCATGAAAGTGATACTTGGTAAATGGGTTAGAGGCGAGACCCAACCAGGAAGGATCATGAAGCTGGTTCCCTATGGTTTCGAAGAAAGAGATATATTACTGAAAAACGCACAAGAAATTCGTGATTCAAATATCCGTATCCGACCAGGTTGGCCGCTTGAGTATCGAATCAAGTGGAAGAATGCTCTTACGGAGTTGAGAACTCGCAAGTTAAATGGCGAGACTAACCTTACCATTAAGGGTTTTCGGGTAGTCAGGTCTTGGAAGCCAATACTTCCGAGGCCTGTATGGGTAGAACGAATGATTACCAAAACACCTTAAATGTATGCTACACGAACGCCCGTGGTCTTAAGAATAAAACGTCCGAGTTAAGTTCGTTGATTAAGTCCCAATATAATTGTTGTCACAAAAACTTGGCTCACCGTAGATATAGAATGTTCTCCCATCATTGCAGGTTACATCTGTATTAGAAGTGATAGAGTTTTTAGTCACAAGGGGGGAGGCATAATGTTATACATTAGGGATCACTTTTGTATACAATCAATCATATGGGAGGCTCATGTTAGTGGTACATGTGAGGTAGCATGTTGTAAGATCTGGAAACGGGTTAGTGACTGGGGGAATATACCTTAGTCCGTGTTGTCTGGTTGACGACTTTATCCTAAGACACATCTGTTCTAGGAGTATGGCAGAATGTTGTCTCATCATTGGGGACTTCAACGCAGCGCCCATCAATTGGATAAAGCTTACAGCTCCTGGTGGAGGTTTCGATAGCGACCTTTTATCAACCGTTATTCAGTGTGCACTTGTACAATGTATCACAAAACCGACACATATTGATTTGAAACATTATCCGTCTCTGTTGGACCTCGCCCTCACCCACCTCTGTGAGGATGTCTTTGATATTCAGCACCTTCCCCCACTAGTGAACAGTGGTCACGTTGTACTTCACTTAAAGTTTAGGACACATGGTATACGATTTGTATCTGCTCCACCCCGTCCCAATATCTGGCGGGCTAATATTCCGGCAATCAGAGACTGTGCTATCTCGACTGATTGATCGGTTGACATAGATGGATCGATCGAAGACGAATGGAATAAGTTTAAGGCTACATTCGAGTTCGTAACGTCGCCGTTTATCCTATGGTCAGCACGCAAGCTATTGCATTGCCCTCCATGGACTAACTTACTTATTGCGAGAGAGGATTGGACAGCACCCTTAGATAAAGATCTGTCTGTCGATGCTATATTCATAGATTTTAGCAAAGCATTTGACAAGGTTTCACACTTAGGTCTCATGCAGAAGCTCACGAGCTTCGGAATAATAGGTACTGTACAGGAGTGGGTATGAAACTTCTTATGTGACCGCAGACAGAGAGTGAGGGTCAATGGGACGCTATCCGATTGGAAGCCGGTCAAAAGTGATGTACCCCAAGGCACCATCTTAGGCCCTCTGCTCTACCTTCTCTACGTAAATGGGTTACCGCTGTTGCTTAGGTCGTCGACATTATTATTTGCGGATGACGTAAAAATCTGGAGAACAATAAAAAGTGAGGCTGATCATCTGGATCTTCAGGCTGACTTATACGATTTAGTTATATGGGCTCGAGATTGGGGCTTAGGAATCAATTCTAGGAAGAGTGTGCTAATTCACATCGGTCACGGCAATAGTTACCATTATACTATTGGTGATAAACCTCTTCCATGCGTTTAAGAACATAAAGACTTGGGAGTGATAATAAGTCATGACCTAAAAACAACTACGCACTGCAACGCAGCCGCTGTCAAAGGTTTTCGTGCGTTATGATCACTTCGCCGAGCGTTCGAATCTTTTGAAGAGGAAATGTTTCGAATTTTATATCCCACCTATATAAGACCACATTTAGAGTACTGTATCCAAGCAGCTAGCCCATGTCTGGTAAATGATACTAACTCACTTGAGCGTGTCCAGCGTGTGGGAACGAAATTAGTGAGGGGTCTTTCTAAACTCTCGTACAATGAGCGTTTAAAGCGCCTAAGCCTTTTCCCCTTGTCGTATCGTAGGACTCGAGGTGACCTTGTACTGGCGCTTCGTATCTTTAATTATGATTTGGGTGTTAATATGTCTTATCTTTTTGCTCCGTCCAGCACTAATAATCTCCGAGGTCATAGCAAGAAGGTTCATAAACCTTGATCTAATAAACTTAAATTGGTGTTCCGTTTTTCTCATCGAGTAGTCAATGATTGGAACGCCTTTCCCGAACAAGTGGTATCAGCCCCATCAGTGAATATTTTCAAGTAGAAACTGGACCTTCACTGGAGGGCAATCTGTTAAAATTAACACAGTTTCACCAACCTACTATCCTTATTACTGAAGACTGAAGATTAACTAAGTAGCCATTGATACCCTCCTTTCCATCTTTTCTAATATATGTCGAACTGGGGAGTCAAATATTAAATGGGGGGGGGGTGTTAAAAACAACGAAATAAATATCCGGCAGTTGTGTGCAAATGCGTTTACTACTTTCTGTGCAAAAAGGCTAAATCTCTGGCAAGAAACCAACAGTAAGGTACAGAGGGACAGTTATCTGCCTCTATTTTAAGTCTTTAAGACAATAAGAAATGTATGAAAGTAGTATTGGAAGGTCTTATGGTCAAAAAATCAGATTGCCCAATCATCGAGCTGAATAAGTCACATGTAAACGTCAGATATCCGATATTTATAACCTAACACCATAGCATCACTGAAGTTATTGTAACGACATGGACCCCCGGTGTTTTTCTGCAGACCAAACGATTGTCTCAAATTTTTGTTAGTACTCCAACAGCTATCCGAATGATGCTTTCGGTTATTTTTAATTGTTTTCCTCAAAGGATAAATACATGAAGATAACCCTGCCATTTTTTCCGGAGTGCTGAATGATTCCTACCCCCATGGATTTTTCCTGCATTTATTCTCTCAGGTTTTCACTACCATTGTCATTTGTGTTTTATCGATTTCTCTTCCCTGTGATAGTTAAAGAGTAAATGCTAATATATATATATATATATATATATATATATATATATATATATATATATATAGGGTTCAACTTCGCCTGTATTTTATTGAATAAAGGTGTAGGTAGTGAAGTAGTTGTATATGTCCCATAGTATTTCGAATTGGTAGGTTATAATGTCCATTTGTGCGTGACACTAAGTATAACGATTTTCTGTTCTGTTTAGTTCATTTCAATGATACCCTCGTCCGTTAAAGTGACGTACATGCACTACCTGAAATTTGAACTACCAAATCATAACAATTAACGTTGTTATGAACAAATTATCGTTAAAAGTAGTATATAAAGCAATTATATGTTCTGGACGTTCACTTTCTCTATGCTTCTCTTTTTTCCTTGCAGATGTCAGAAACTCCCGACAGACTGATTAGTCTTGAAGAGTTAGAAACTATGTTTAAGGATAGGTATACGGACAAGGATGTTAATTATCAAAACTACTTGTCGAATGCCAATGTACCACCCCCTATCATACCTCATTGGGGTACTCTTGTTTGCTACTAAGTTATGACGAATTCTAGATGAAATAAATCGAGAAAGATTCAATCATCGGGGTCGGAGAAATGTAAGTTTTATTCGCTTGTTGATTTGATTCATTTTTTTATAGGATAACTACAGATTCCAGAGAAATAGCTTCCAACGTAACAGTTTGGATTAATTCGATTCATTATCAGATCACAAGACTTGAGAGTAGTTTTTGTGCGAATAAACTTTTATGCAAACTCCTGCTTTATATCGACTTAGAAAACTTAACTACCGTGACTGGGAAACTGAAAAATTTAATTCGTGCCATGAAATGTTTAAAATTGGTATTTTTGAAGTGCTTAATGATCGTCTTGTTGATTTAAATTGACGGTTCTATATCCCTTGGTATTTCACTGGTTATTTTGTATATGCTTACCATCACATTGTGCCATTTAAAAAAGTTATTGTCGGCCACTTACTGGTTCCAATAACTTTATTATTACGTGCATTGATATATTGAAAAGTGGAACACTATAGTTAGTAAACTTTTGATTAACCATATATAGTTTTCCAGTCCCTCTGTCTACAAAAAAAGTGGAACACTATAGTTAGTAAACTTTTGATTAACCATATATAGTTTTCCAGTCCCTCTGTCTACAAACAAAGACCTGAATATGTTTTCTGATTATTCGCCAGATTATATATAACTTTCTTAGTTTTAGTGCCAAGGTTGAACTTGATAGTTTTTTATTCACAAATTAATACAGTGACGTCATACGAATTCGCGTTGACCAAAAATGGCTTGATATTGAAATATTCTGACCTATTATGACTTGTATTGTGCTAAGAATATTCCGTATTGTTTCCTCTGTACTATTTAAACTTGCGTTAATTTTATTTCAGTTATTTATTTATTCTGAAGAAGTGGTATACACTAAGTCACGAAACGTCAAAAATACAATTTTACACTCATTGGGATATCACAAAAAATACGTTTATTGTATATGATTTTCCTCTAATTTTGAAGAAACCTTATTGATCGTTTCCAAGCATGTTAAAATATCAATGTTTCAATAAACTGCAATGTCTCTGGTTATTGATTTGAGTTATTCAGTTAAGCGTAGGCTACGAATGTTGTTAGTTTCAGACAGCATGATACACTAATTTTTCTTGATATCGGGAAAACTTATTAACTTGTTGGTCCTGTCAGTTTCTTCATTTCAGTCAGATGTTGTTTACTGTTAGTGGGTATATTAACCAGACTTTCGTCAATTTTAAATCTTACTCTGGTCATTAACTGAAAGTAGTTTTTTGTCAATTGTCTTCGCATTTATTCTTAACTTGGCTTTTTTAATGCAGTATGTAAACGTCTATTATACTAAGCACTCTAAAAAATCCCAAGCAATCAAATTAATTTGAAATTGATTCTTACAGTGAACTTATATTAGTAAACGAACTACTGAGGACCGTATTTTGTAGGTCGAAACTCCTCAATGACGTACACTTATTGCCCTATTCAGCTGATGCGAATTCTTGTTGACAATCGTCTTCAGATTATGCGAAGCAATTCACACAGTCATCTGATATGCTAGTTCATTTAGGTAGTCCCAGTCTTTTGCATGGACTTAAGAGTGTAGTTTATGTAACTTGTACAACTTTATGTCACAAACATTTAAATCCATGATTGTGAATCTGTCATGAAACATTGCCAAATATCGATGCAAATGTTCAGATCATCCATGACTGTTCACTAAGTCGCGCAGAATAAAATCTGTACGAACCCATGACTTATCAATATGCAACTTTGTAATTCACTTAAGTAGTATTCCTCATGTTCTAGACAATAAAGTTAAAGTATAGTGAAACGTTAAAAAAATTTCACCATCATGCTTATAACCAACTTATCAAAGTGGAATAAATTCTCATTACCAGCCAGCTTCAAGTAGATAATCCGTTATTATTGAACTGAATTATTCTCTTTTAAAATTATTGCGAAATATTACTTACTTACGCCTCTTACTCCTCGTGAAAGAGCATAGGCCGCTCATCAGCATTCTCCATCCAACCCTTTCCTGGGCAATCCTTTCAAGCTCTTTCCAGTTCTTATTCATCCTTTTCATATCTGCTTCTATTTCCCGACGTAATGTGTTCTTTGGCATTCCTCTTTTCCGCTTCCTTTCAGGATTCAAAGTTAGGGCTTGTCTGGTGATGCAGTTTGATGATTTCCGCAATCTATGTCCTATCCATTTCCAACTCCTTTTCCTAATTTCCTCTTCATTTGGAAGCTGGTTGGTTCTCTCCCACAAAAGGCTGTTGCTGATGGTATCTGGCCAATGGATGTTGAGTATCATGCGTAGACAGCTATTGATAAATACCTGTACCTTCTTGATGGTGGTTGTTGTAGTTCTCCAAGTTTCAGCTCTATAGAGTAGAACTGTCTCGACGTTTGTTTGAACAATCTGACTTTGATATTGGTTGAAAGTTGTTTTGAGTTCCATATGTTCTTCAGTTGAAGGAATGCTGCTCTAGCTTTGCCAATCCTCGCCTTGACGTCTGCATCTGAACCTCCTTGTTTACCGACGATGCTTCCCAGGTATGTGAAGGATTCCACATCTTCCAGAGTTTCGCCATCAAGAGTGATTGGATTGCTGTTCTCCGTGTTGTATTTAAGGACCTTGGTTTTCTCCTTGTGTATGTTGAGGCCTACTGATGCAGAGACTGCTGCTATGCTGGCTGTCTTTATCTGCATTTGTTCGTGTGTATGTGATAGGAGGGCTATGTCATCTGCGAAGTCCAAGTCGTCTAATTGGTTCTGAGCTGTCCATCGTATGCCGTGGTTTCCCTCAGATGTCGAGGTCTTCGTAATCCAGTCGACCACCGGAAGAAAGAGGAAGGGAGAGAGTAGACAGCCTTGTCTTACTCCGGTCCTTACTTGGAATGCGTCGGTCAGCTGTCCTCCATGCACTAATTGCACTGTAGTCCATCGTATGAGTTCCGGATAATGTTGACAATCTTCTCAGGAACTCCGTAGTGTCGAAGAAGTTTCCATAACGTCCTCCTATCTACACTGTCAAATGCCTTTTCATAATCAATGAAGTTGATGTAGAGTGACGAGTTCCACTCAATTGATTGTTCGACGATGATCCGTAGTGTCGCAATTTGGTCTGTGCACGACTGGTCCTTACGGAATCCAGCTTGTTGATCTCGAAGTTGAGCGTCTACTGCGTCTTTCATCCTGTTCAGCAACACTCTGTTAAGCGCTTTTCCTGGTATTGACAGTAGTGTAATGCCTCTGTAGTTTTCACACTTGCTCAGATCTCGTTTCTTTGGAATCTTGATGAGGTGTCCTTCTTTCCAATCCATCGGCACTTGTTCCTCCTCCCAAATCTTCTTGAATAGAAGATGAAGCATGCTTGTAGTTACTTCGATGTCTGACTTCAGTGCTTCAGCTGGTATATTGTCGGATCCTGCTGCTTTCCCGCTCTTGATTTGTCTGATGGCCATTCTGATTTCTTCGGTCGTTGGTGGATTGACATCTATAGGAAGATCTGTGTGTGCTGCTTCGATGTCCGGTTGATTCATTGGAGCCGGCCTGTTCCGGAATTCCTCGAAGTACTCTGCCCATCTGTTCCGCTGTTGTTGAATTTCAGTGGTTGGTCTTCCTTCTTTGTCTTTGACTGGTCTCTCTGGTTTACTATATTTCCCTGCTAGCTTCTTTGTCGTATCGTAAAGCTGTCTCATATTTCCTTCTCTTACAGCTTTTTCCGCCGTCGTTGCTAGTTCTTCCACGTATTTTTGCTTGTCAGCTCTAATGCTCTTCTTCACTTACTTGTTTGCTTCTATGTACTCGGCTTGTGCTTGGACTTTCTCTGCTCTTGTTCGACTGTTGTTAATTGCTGTCTTCTTGTTCTTTCTTTCTTTGATCCTGTCCAGTGTTTCTATAGAGATCCATTCCTTGTGATGATGCTTCTTGGGGCCCAGAACCTCTTGACACGTTGAAGTTAATGTTTCTTTGATACCTTTCCAGTTATCCTCCATAGTAGATTCTTCTTCCTTCAGTAGGTCCTGTAAGGCTTGGAACCTGTTGTTGAGAGCTATCTTGAATTCATTGAGTTTATCAGTATCTCGAAGGAAGGCTGTATTGAACCTTTGCAGCGCTGAATGTCCAGTTCTTTTTTAGCTTCAGTTTCAATTTGGCCACAACCAGGTGGTGATCTGAAGCTATGTCCGCTCCTCTCCTGGTTTTCACATCTTCCATTGTCCTTCGGAAATTTTTATTGATGCAAATATGATCTATCTGGTTCTCTTTGGCGGGTCCGGTGAGATCCATGTAGCTTTGTGTGTACGTTTGTGTGGAAATATTGTACCGCCTATGACCAATTTATTGAATGCACACAGATTTGCAAATCTTTCCCCGTTTTTGTTCCTCTCTCCCAGTCCATGTAGTCCCATGATGTCTTCATATCCGGTGTTGTCCATTCCGACTTTGGCGTTTAGATCTCCCATCAGAATGGTGAGGTCCTTTCTTGGGCACTTCTCTATGATTGATTGCAGCCTCTCATAGAATTGATCTTTAACGTCGTCGTTGCTATCATTGGTGGGTGCATAACATTGGATAATATTCATTGCATATTCTTGCATATTACCTATTATTCTGTACTGTTCTCCGTTATTCTTTCCTGGGCTTTTGAGAAAAGACTGCTGCACTGCGGAGAGCGCTGAAGGCAGTTAGCAAGTTATGTGGTGAATCTTTCGAGACCATAATTAATATGATTGTGGATAGACATCTAAAGTCATGCAAACTCTTGGCAGATGTTATTTTATCAGATACTAACCATCCCCTTCACTCATATCTTTCTCCTCGTATATCTTCTGGTAGAACGAGACGAAATTACATTAAAATCCAAGCACGCAAGCAAAAGTATAAACGTTCTATAGTACCTTACCTAGCAAATGTACTCTGTGACGAACAGGTTGTTAGAGTTAACCTAGTCAATAATCTGCATTCTTAACATGACTCTAATTGAAAAGTTGTACAGTTTTTTTTTCTTTTTTTTCAGATTTCTTTTTTTTAACCGTTTTTTTCTTTTGTTCTGTAAAAGAAACTTGTTGAAGTATTTTTGGGCTGAGAATTCTATATTGCTAGAATGGGTTTTGTGGAGAATTGGTAATTTCAATGGTTGAAATCATGAA